CATTTTCCAGGAGAAAGATGCTGAACCGCTGCCCTTCACTCAGAGGAAAAATTGGAGGGTCAGATGAACTGGCCACTCAATTTAAACAGAGCGACACAGTCAATACGCCCTCTGTGGCAGCTCATTCCCTCTACCTGCTGATTCAATTAGGAGGCATGACTCAGACTGTGTTTGGACTGGAGACATTTATAATGGAGATTGAAACCTGCGTCTTCCTCCTTTGGGACACTTCTATTGTGTGTATTCCACAATGCAACAAGGCACATCTGTTCTTTTAATTCAGTGCCATGATTTGTTTTATTCTGTTTTGGCAGAGCAGCTGTTTCAGTAAATAGGAATAATTAATCAGATTCTTTTGACTTTGTGTGTGTGTTTTTATTTGATCTATTTTCCTAGTTTTCTTGTCATTTCTAAAGCGTTCCTATCATGCTCTTTTGGGTTTTTCTTTCCTGTAGTGTGTTATAAAGGTTTTTGTGCATGTGAATGGTCTGCAAAGACCCACAACTCCCTCCACTCCTGAATAGCTTCCATTGTAGTCCTTTGTTAACTTCCGTGACATAGTGACATCACAATGAAGCCCTCACATTTCTATTGGCTAGTTCTCCAATACATTGTATGTGATAGGCTAAGGGACGGGACATCTATTAGTGGTTGACCGATCACAACAGAGCCAGCCAGCTAACCAATCAGAGCAGACTGGGCTTTGTAATTCACTGTAGAGGCACAAAATCAAAATATGAAACCTTAAATTGAGCATAATAGGCCCCCTCATTTTGTAACTTCTTCTTACCAGCGGACTGTTCCGGTCCCATTTACCGAAGCCGGGGGTCGTCACGGAGACCAGCAGACATCCCCCCCATTGATCCTGCTGTCTTATTGGATCTTGAGAGACACACCCAGGAAGTGTCGCACAGCGTGGAGATGATGATGCGGAGCCTCAATGGCACCATCCAGAATGTGAGTTGGTATAAAATGCATTAGGCTTCTTTTCATTGTCATCGCTCACTATTGGATTTGTGTAACAAATGTAACTCTGTACATCTGTGTGTTCATCCAGATGACGGCTCTGAGTGTGGGCTACATCCAGACCTACAGGGACTCAGTGGACAGCCTGGGGGAGTCTGTGGATATGAGCATAAAGGTGACACTGTGTGTATGTGTGTGTTTTCTCCATTGACAAAAAAGGCTCTAACAGAACGAAATAATACACTTTCACTACAAAAGGGGTTAAAACATTATCTTACTTCTTTATAAGAATAATGTTGTTAATAATTTACTTTAATTCTAGAAGCAATGTGTTGCATTTTAGCCGTATACTCAAAGCAAAAGAAAGGCAGAACTGAGCACACTTATTCATCACATTTTCATTCATTGAATAATATCCTCATATGGTGCTGTCTATAAGGCATCATCTTTTTTATCGCTTGCTTTGTGTGTTCCTTCCAACAGGGCATGTACACACTGATGGCTCGCTGCGAGGAGTTGGACCGCTCCATGCAGCCCATACACACCCTGGCTGCACAGATCCGGGACATCAAACGCACCCTGGACGCCCTGGAGGTGATCTGCAAGTAACCCCGCCCGTCCGGTACGAATACACACTCCACCTGCAAAGATCTGACGCCAAGCACATCCTGAGCGAGGCCATCTGCAAGTAAACACACCTTCCTGCAGGTAGCACACACACACTGCAGCGGGATTAAGTGCACCTCTGGATTCTTGGAACCATTGCCACCAGGAATTCTGGATGATTGGCCATCATAGCCCCTCCGCTTGTTCATAATTTGAAGTTGTTTGTCTCGTGAGATTGACTAAATAGCGCTTGATTTATTCTCGGGCCGAGCTTAATCCTCTTCTTTTTTTTAAAGAGCACCCACACTTCCCCTAATGAAGTTTTCGCAAAACTAAATCTGACAATTTTACTTGCTTTTGGGACACTTGGTCAAGTTCCTTAACACATACCTGTGGAGAAAACACACAAATACAAACAGATACGTTGAGTATGTGTGGCTGAGTGCTGCCTTTCTCCACTTTACAGCCTGAGGAGTATTTTGTGTCATTATCCGTCCAGCCCGCTTCGTTCAGATTGCACTAGTCGTTCCTCCCCACATGGGGGCGATGTTTCTCTCTCTGTCACTCTCTTCTCATATGGAGAGGCCAGTATGAACTGCTCAGAAGACACTTGACTTTTGCACAGGAACAGAAAGTCTATTTTTTAATCTTATGCAACAAAGATCAGATTCTTTCACTGCGGGCTAAATGAGGGGAGGGAAGCATTATGTCTGTCTGTCTGTCTTTTTAAATGTTTATTTATTCGCTTCTCTCAGTGTGCATGCTTTTTCAACTACACTGCTACTCTGTGTCACTATGAACAGACCAGTACAGCCAGATTTGTTCACAGGTTGCCACTGAACAGCCCACCTGTAGCATTTGGAGTTCTAACTCAAATGCTGCTTGAAGGTATTTACTAGTCGAAGGTCATGAAAGTGTTTTCTACTTAAATTCTCTCAGATTATTTATCAATTAAAAACCGGTAACCTTTAATTCAAATGTCTGCCTTCCTAATTTAAAGCTATCACCAGCCATGTGTCATTTGGCCTTGAAACTTTCCTCCTCTGCGCCAATGCAAGCTGTTTTCGAGCACATAACTGGAAAAATATCTCATGTAGCCGACAACAGTGGCTTTAAATGTTTGAAAAGCTCTTGGTACTCATTTGACTTTTAAATGTCATCAAAAGTAAAACAACTATTTGTGCAATGCTGATAAATTCAGCCAACTGAAACCATTGAAAATCGAATTGAATTTCCAGACATGGAGGTAGCTAACAAACCGCTCAGTGTCATTAATTGGGTTGTGTTGTTTTAGCTTTCAATTAGTCAATGGAAAGAAATGATATTTTGTATTAGAAGAACTCGGTGTCAAACACATTTTGAATCTATTAAATGTGGCCAATATTCAACCAAATAATATTCCGTTTTAGGTTGTGGCTGTAACTGTACTTCTGTTAAATGGTGGATTCCTTCATTTGGAACATTGTTTATTTATATCTCATCCCCTAGGTTTGTGTTCGAACCTAGGGGGGAAAATCCTGTAAATGAAATGTAATCAGTGAGGCTTCTGACTGTACTGAACAGTCACAAAGAAGCGAGCATTACATGTCTGTGCAGCATGTCCTAGCATTTGTTTTCTTCAACACTGAGGAGATTGTTTGAACAAAAGAGGATCTGGGAAACGGCGCTGGAGTCGGGACAGAGCCTCCGCATGGGAACTAACGTGGACTCTTATCACGTTCTATGAAGTGAGTATTTATTAATTTACTTAACCGACCAAAAACCATTTGGAGCATTATACTTAATTTAATGAAAATACTGCAGTACGTCTGTCATTGCACTGGTAGTAGATAATTGTACGCGTTGTACGTATTACTGATGGATTTGGGGATTTTACATCTACAAAACATTTATCAGAGCAATACTGCAAAGCAGAGTAGTTACACTTTTTAACCTTGGCTCTGTACCTGTTAATGTGTTTTCATCTCTGTGGGGAAAGATAATGTGATTGGCTTCACAAATTAAATTCTGTGTGAAATCTGCTCTTTGTCTGCTTGTCACTTCAGTTGACCTTTTTGGCAAAAGTTTGTGAAAATTGTCGGGGATATTATTAAAAGTGAAGATGAGCATCTCTTAAAAGCCTACAATAAAAAAATATATTGATCCTGATTCCCTTGATTTAACTGTAATTTCCTCCACGTAGTGAAAATGTAAATGCTCTCTTGCAGATGAAGGTAAATGTCCAGAGAGTGGACCTTTGGTTGATTTTCCACGTGAGAAAGGATCCTTGAGCTCTGGCAGGAAATGTCCTTGTTCATATCCAGTGGCGAGCCGTGACTTTTATACCTAAGCCCTCTGACCCCCACCCCTTCCCTCGAAAAAAGAGTTATTACGTATAACAGCGTATACTTCAGCGGAATATCAAAACAACGGCCCGGGGTGCAAAAATGAAAGCGACCCTCTACCACACAAAACAACACCTGTAAATAACCCAATTGGTGTTCTTTGAAATTGAAAAGGATATTGCATTGTTTGTTACTTTCGTTGCAGTTGTATGTCTTAAGTGTAATTTGGCATGCTTTTATTTTGAAGGCGAGTTTACGCTGTTGACAGGAAGTTGTTGTTGCTATGGAATCAAGAAAAGCTTCACAGTGGGCAGAACTTGTCATAAAGTCCGCGATAATAAAACCCACCCATTTAGAGGGAAGATATGCTGTATAATTTACAGCAGGACCACCAAGCTCTCCCGTCTTCACAGTAACTCGCAGGAGCTTCTTTCATTTAACCCTTCACATTCAAACAGAAACTGAATTGGTAGATTCGAAGGATTTATTTCTTTGGAAATACAATTTAAATCAAGTTATTTTGGTAAAACTAATGAAAAATATAACTAATAAAAATAATATATTTTTTAACGTTTTTAAATATTATTTTGTAGAATGTCTTAGGCGGGCCTAGAGGGCCCTGACGGCTCGCCACTGTTCATATCTCATAAATGTATGATACACAAATGTTCTGTTGTACAATCAGATGCACCTGTGTACATATTTCTTTCTGTAACTAAAAGTGATTTAGATAAATAAAAATAGAATATAGAAAAATAACAAATACATTTACATCAGCTGCAAAAACAATCATTTCCGGGTTTATATTTTTATACTTTTTTTTACAGTGTAGGCTACTGCCTCAAGAAGCAATGAAGGATGTGATGGATGAAGTAACAAATATAAACAACACTTGCTTACAAAAATATGTACATATATGAACAGATGCCTATTGTGAACTGAATGTATGTCCTTTAATCAACAGATACTGCATTTGAAACAGACATTTTAATTTCACTAACTACATGCTGGTGAGACCAAGAAGCTTTTTCACAGAAGATATTTTGATGTCACAGCAGGAAAAGCACAATGTCAGAAATAACATGGCTCTGTTGTATTCCCTGTAAGCTGTGACAGTGAGCCAGCATGCACAACAGGACCCTGAAGCTGAATCAGTTAAATTAAATCCAGCCATCAATAATGGTAATGTTTACACCTCTGCTTTTGCTGCTTTGACATTTCAATTACAATCACCATGTTGAATTTAGCTACAACTCAGGCAGAAGAAGCTAGTGAGCTGCAGTTAAGTGAATGGACCTTTTTAAAAAATACTAATATTTGATGCCACAAAGTCTGGATGTTTTTGACAATATGCAACATTTGAAGGCCAATGTTAACACATATGTCCTTTGTCCTAGATGTCAAACTTACTAATGGAAAAGAAATGAACAAAAACGATAACTCGTTAAGACAGATTAAAGGGCTGGTTCACTTGTATTTCAAATATACCTCACCCCTTTAAATCCCACTTAACTACTAAATGAAAAGAGAAACTTGCAAAGCACAGACAGACAAATGTACAAACAAAATGTGCAAAAAAAACAAAAACAAACAGACTGCTTTCCTGTATCTGTTGTCACGGTAAAACATGGCTGATTCGATATGACAATAAATATCTAATATGTCACATCTCCTTTCTCTGAAAATGATTTAAATACAGCCTGGAGAAACTGAAAGAAAAAGTGACAAGTGTTTGTACCACTAATGTCTCTTGGCACATTTGTTGATATGTTTGAAGTTCCAGCTTTAAACATAGGGTGTTGTACTGAACAGAGCAGCACTCCTGCAGCTAGCAGTGATCAGTGTCTTGCTCAAGGGCACTTCAGAAGGGCTCATATTGCATTCCTAACCCAGAGCTTCCTGATAAAGGCTGGTTTCTTCACATTTGAAAGTTCCAGGTAAGACTTCCAGCCACCAGCAACAGCAGACCAGTAAGGTTTGGGGCACTTGATGGAGTCGTACAACTACTGGTAGTTACTTCCAGGGAAGGCGATGGACTTTCAGTACTAGCTGAACTGCTTCCTCTTGACTCAATCACAGAGGCCCCTTTTGTTGTAGAAGCTCTTGGAGAAGGAGCTCTTGTTGTCCCCATTACATCTTCAGCCTTTTCTTTTACTTTAACCCCAACGGACGCTCCGTCTTTGGGGGACTGCTGGTCTGAGACCTCCCCGTCTGCGGTCTTGTACCACTGGCACTGGAAGTCCTTCTTCCAGATCTCTGCTGGGTCTGGTTCGGCTCCTTTAGTGTTTGAGTCTGGCTGATCTGTGGCTTTTTCTGCCTCTCCCTGAAAGAGAAAATAATGTTCAACATTAGAAGATGTTTCTTAGATTATTATATTATTTAGGGGGGGAACCATTTATAATATCATTGTGGAAATGAAATTGGATAAATAAAGTCGGCCTCAAATTCAAAGGAAAAACAAATGTCATGGTGTTCTGCGGTTATAACATTCTTCAGACTCCACATCGTGTTGTACTTTTTATGACAACTGAATATCCTCAAAGTACATCCAGACATTTCCAAGCAGTGATAAGTGTTCCCAGGGAGCACTTTGTTCCTGTGTTCCGGGCTCCAGCTAAACTTTATCCATTGTACCTCCTCTAATGTTTGCCTCGCTGCTTTCTTACTGTCCAAACACAGAAGATCCTCAGGCAACTGCTGTTGTCTTGGTTATCTTTATCTTTCGTGAGTTAAAATTAGTTGTTCCGTTTCCTACTCTTCACACCGAAACACAAGTTGAGAACATGTTTCTCTTCCTACACCTTTCAAATCTTCGGTAGCAAAGGGGAGGGATGTCAACGAGACTGAGAGATTTTATGATCTTTTCAGCACATACAGTAGTACTAGGCTCTTGTATCTCACCATTGTATGGGTTTGTTAACTTTGACGCTGTAAAAAGCAAGTCCAATTATCTGCCTCGGCCCGCGGCAGATAATTGGATGGCCTACCTGCATGTCAGCTTTCCATCTCGTGCACAAACTTATCTCGTGCCCTCATTGGTCACGTGCGCGTTCGTGTGTGTTGGTGGAGGGGCTCTGTAAGGAAGTCTGAAGGAAGGGGCAGATTTTTTTCGGTTGTGTACTTTCAAATTCTAGCGCACTCGAGCTGGTTTCTCCATTCTTACCTACCATACCTTTTAAGGACATACTGTACAATCCAGAGGCCAACATGTAGCTAAAACTGTGGTTTGCTCAATTTAAAAGCAAGACAAAAGACAGCCTACAAATAATTATAATGTTGAATCAACCTGGCCTGATATCAGAGAGAATAACACTCAGTTTCGAATCCTTCGTCGGACATTGCGTCTACCAATATTTGAGTGGAGACCAAAGTATTTGCCTGAACATAACCACATTTTTATTTCAACACTGTAACGTAGCCATGCAAACATACTAGATTTGCCATAGTTTTAAAAGTGGAGAGGAGCAAAGGAAAAATTACAAATAATTTAGGAAATAAAAATACATTTTGGAATCAAAGTTGTCATAGCCAATTTACTAATATTCAACATCCCAAATGCTTGACAACGCTGTCAGTACCTCCTTCGCGGTTATTGGATCAATGGCTTTTCAACCGAGGAATCAATGTTTCGTGTCAGGATGCCAGATAAATCACTCAATTTAGTGGGTGAATTCAAAGCTCTGGAGCCAGAATGAACTCCTCTCTAAATACAGTTATCATAATATTCTTTAAGTACTTGGGGTTTATTATTGAGCAGTTGCTAAAGTCTTAAGCTACGCGTAGCCAATTAACTGAAAACTGAAAGTTATTCCGTAAGGCTCTTAGAGTCACCCCACGAAGAAGAGAACGAGCCATAACCCGAGTGGGCATCAAGCTGGTGGACAGGATTAATGGTCACTGCAATTTAATAGTATAAGAGTATACAGGGCTTTATAAATCTGGAACGGATACATCCTTACATCTTCCTTAAAATCACATTCTCTCACCTTTTCTGTCTCCTTCTCCACCACTTCCGATGGAGATGGAGATGGAGGTGTGAGTGCGGAGGGCGGCGGGAGGTGGAGGTATGCCGAGCTTTCTGGATTTTGACGAACACATCGTCCCTTTCCCTGGCACAGAGAGGCTGAGCAAAGCAGAGTTGCCGTGGTTACGTTCATGGAGTAGGGTCCCAGTACCTTACGGACGAACTCTGCTAGGTCCTGACATTCTCTCTGAGAAGTAGATGGGTAGATCGTAAATAACGTTTGTACTTCTTTTGGATGAAGAAACTGTTTGCCCACATAAAGCCATTTTTGTAAGTAAAATGGTAAAGCTATGGATTAAGAAGCTGAAGTCCATTATTTCCTTTATAATACTCAGTGGCTGGAAAAAACATGCAGAGATATTTGTGGGTGTACTGTATGCACTTTATGCAAATGTATAGGTTTATACCTCCGTCTTAGTCTCACTTCTCTCCCAGATGACAACTCCGGCTGTTCCCATGGCAGCACTCTCTCCTATGGTGCTGACCAGGTCTGCCTGTTAACAAGAAAGTATTCAAAGAAGCTGTAAAAGTCAAAACACAGCACACTGTTTTTCAGCTATCCTCTGTATTAGTATGAACACCATTATACTTGTTACCAGAGGAATCTGTTTATTTCACCCTTAATTCATTCACTGAAGATCAGAGTGCAAATCCAAAAATCCTTTCTTATTGTTTATTTTCCAATATTCCAAGAGATTTGAGAACCTCTTAGAATAATTATTGCTATAATACAACATGATTCTGATCAAATACCGGACAATAATACCTCACCTGTGACAGGAAAGTGTTAGTAGAGGCGTAGACACTCTTGATCAGTGGGAATACAGGAAGATCAAATGCCGTCCCACTCAGAGACGAAACTCGTAGTGCTTCTTTGATTTGACTGGACAAATAAAGCCTTGCTCCAGAGGTACCACCCTATCAGAAAAAGTGGCAGATTTATATATTGTATTGAATATCTGGCTTTACAAAGGTGTTGGTTTATGATGGTTTTGACAAATTCACAAGTCCTCACTGATAATCCAGTCATGGTGTTTTTCATGTGCTTTTTTGGTGTTACACTACAAGTAGTCTTTTTGCAGTTGAGTAACGTTGTTAATGTTCGGCGGACTAGCTGAAGTGCCACGTGCGTAACTGTCATGCAGCAATCGTGTAGTATTTGCGCGTTCAACTAAATAACGTTTTGGGGGCTTTGCCTTTGGTCTGAACTATTTGGTAGGACCTCAATCTTTTATTTTAAACACATTTTTCTTCATCCAAATAGATTTATTTTGGTTGTTTGTTTAGATGATGCAAAGAAACACACATCATACAATTTGCAGGAAAATTAAGTTGCGTGTTTTACAGATGACATCAGCATGGTTTGCGGAAGTGGTGAAAAATATTACATCGTATCGCAGTCCATGCAAGACATAATGTTCACTTGTTTATCCAGTCTCCAAAAGGTACTGCAATGCTCTCAAGGGTCAAACTATTTTATTCTAGAAAATTGGGCTACCAGTTGATTCTTTACCGAAAACAGAAATCTCAAATGATAGACAAAAGAACAACACATTAACGTTACCCACCTGCATCTTCTCCAGGGTGAAGAGAGGGTAGAGAGCGGAGCATCGTTTCCATAGCCACAGAAGCTCATCGTTAAGGGCCATCTCCGTAGCAGGGCACTGGCTGGTGTAATTGGCTAATATGGTCTGGGCGGGATCCCCGCTGTAGCAGCTGGGGTAAGGGGAGACTCCCCATAATGCTTTGGGCCTCAACCTTTTGACATCCCGTAGAGTTTCCGTCATTACTGCCTGCGCTGCTGCCTCGAAGTCCACCTGTGACAAGATCAATAGAACCTTTTTCAGTGCCCTCAGGACACTTCCTCTTTTGTGATCTGAAAACGTGCAGCTCTTCAATCTTCTGGTTTTATTTTTTTATTTAAATGAAAGCTCTGGAAAATGATGCAAATCAGTGAGCAGGACAGCTGTTGGATTGACAGGATTTTTTTATATGTTTAAATAAATAGTTTGACACAAAACACTATCAGATATTTGCATACAAAGTGTCTTTGAGTTCCAGAAAAGCGCTATATAAATATAATTTATTATTATTAAATACGTAATCTATAGGAGAGAAGTCCGGTTGTAGCACGAACACTATGACCTAATCACATCCGGAAACATGCAGGTAAGCAGTCCTTATTGCATATAAGGACTTATTAAGACTTAAGGACTTATTGCTGCATAACAGGCAGAGGGCATTGGCCGAATCATTGTCTCTCAACTCTAACTCCATTCATGTGTCTACAATTGCTAATCAGATTAAATACAATCAACTGCACACAGGAAATACAGGTGTTTGCCTGAATATCCGCAACCTACATTTAAACCCTAAAACTATTGACCGCGCCCAGATGCAAAACTGATTGGCGATAGACGGGATAGTTATTGGACTGGCATCGCAGAAGTTAACTAATTAATACTCTACATCTCGTTTGTTTAATCCAGGGGTGGGGAACCTTTTTCCTCTCAAGGGCCATTTCAATTTTTTCAACATCCTCCGAGGGCCGTACAAATTATTGACCTCTGCTTAAAAATCACAGCCCATTCATTTGGCCTTTCTTTCATGTTGTGCAAAGAAAAAGCAACCTCTTAATCCAGATATCTTGCCATGACTCACGCATGCATGCACGTGCACGGTTGTGGCATGACCACCAAACAGAAAGATATGGACACAAGATGTGTGCAAATGTATTTAATTTCCTATCCATGTGAACATGATTTAAGTGGGGGGGGCCTATCTCCTCTAGGGGGGTCCGGGGGGCATTTTCCCCCGGGAAGATGTTTTTTAAATATTGAAGTTAAAAGCATCAATCTGGTGCACTTTGAGAGCAAAATGAAGAGATCTATGGAAACATCTCTCAACACCCATATAAAACGGAACTGGAAGCAGATTTTCTTTTTCTTTATGGATATTTTACAAATCACTCTCCTTTCAAACTGTATTCTTGTTTATTAATAACAACTTTTTTTTACTGTCATAGTATTTTATACCTGTTTACTTTATTATCTTATTTTTTGATAACTATAATGATCATATAAAGATGTGCCTTTACTTCACTGGTTGTAGAAAAAGCTTCTTATAATCGTTAGCTTAGCTAGCTAACCAGATGCTAATAACAACAAAGTTATTGACTGTATGATCAGTATGACAGATGAACAGATCGTCACTGGGCTTTCAACTAAAGACACAGCCACGCAAAAACTGCGGCATGTGTACGGATTTATGGGTACTGCAATTTTTTGAAGTCCCGGAGTGGCGTTCTGGTGCTCTCCGTCAGAATTGCACCCCTGTCAGACGAGACATATACCACGTGATGACACGTTAGGCTCGTGTTGTGTTCAAGGACCATGACCGTTGCCAGGAAAAACAGGCACTTGCTTGTTTAATTATTTTGCAGTCTAGATTTCTTTAATTTTTTTCTTTTTTGCGTGTGTTTATAAATTACCTCGAGGGCCATACCAAATGGTCTCGCGGGCCGTATACGGCCCGGGGGCCGGAGGTTCCCCACCCCTGGTTTAATCCATAGAAAAACTGAGTTGTAACAGTGACTCTGTGATTAAGTTGCAGACTATTTCTGGACCAGGCACAGTCCCTTTGCGTCTCTGCCAGTTGCTGGGAAACTTAATTGGAAATACAGAACTCCGGAATGTCCAGTACATGACCGCCTGTGTTTCTACACTTTGGTTTTTGTATGAATTAACCAAAACTATAACATGGTATTTATTCATTTTTGCTACCTTTGGACAGAACCCAGCTACCTGTCTCATCCTGTTTCCAATCTTTATGCTGATCTAAAAACACGTGTTAAAAACATGATAATGGTATCGGCCTTCTTCTAAAGGCAAGAATATGAAGGAGCCTGTTTTCCAAAGTGTAATGTTAAATTGTGGTTGGACATATTCCAGTCCAACCACATTTTAACATCTATTTGCATACATTTAAACAGGAGATAATAGTCACCTACTATGTTAAAAAGGCTCCTTGTTTATAAAACCATTTAAAATGAACAAAATCAAAGTAAATCTGTTTTTACTCTTTGTTGTAAATTATGAATCCTTGTTTCTTCTCAGAAAATCGTACACTTTGTCATGTGAGTCATCACATTAAGTAATTATATTCTGTCACTCTTCTTTCTTCTGTTCCTTACTCATATCTCTCCTCCTAAAAGGTGCTCACATCAGAAAGAAATATAATTGCCAACATAATACCGATTCTTCAGTTTAATAACCAAAAGCAAATGGTAACATAGTGATGTTATTAGCCAAAATAGGTATTTGTAGCAAAGATGTTTTTTTGAATAAAGAAAACACTTTTGGAAGTGTTTTCCTCCATCCAGATCGTACACTCTTCCCCGTCAACCACCAACAACTTTAAAAGCTTGCTCTCCAATAACAGCCATAACCTGACAACCTGACTTTTTATGTTCTCTTATCTTTCCTCTTATTATTTTTGCAAGTGTGTTTCCTACCTTGTTCCTTACCTCCATAGCTGTTTCTTCTTCTGCCATTTACCCATTTTATAGGTCATTATGCTTAACTTGTCTTACCTGTGACCACCTCTCGACCTCCTCTGGGGTCCAGCTCGGAAAGAAATTCTTCATCAGGTTTCTAGATGCCTCTAGACACATCGCCTGCTTCTCTCTGTTTCTTGACCACTGGGGAACCCACTCTGCCCAGCGCAGCACCCCCAGCCCAAGGTACCTTGGGGCAGGTAAAGCTGCCTCTATGTCCTGCTGTGTCTTTTGAAGGTGGTTGTCCAGCCGTGTGTGCTGTGGTAACCCGCCATTGACCGGTGTGTCTTTATCTATAAAATAAGGGTAGTTCCCCAGTGTGTCCTCGTAAAAAACGGCCACACGGCCCTCCCGTTCCATCCCATAAGAGCTTGGATCTGGCCGACCAGAGCAGGCAGAGTCAGAAATACCCCAGAAGATGATAAAAGGCTGTCCAGACAGGAGAGGGGGACGGGCTGGCTGGGGTGGACCGGCAGTTCCCAGGTCAGCAAAGGCAGCAAGCAGGAGAAGGATGGGCAGTAAAAATGGATGCTGCACTTGAAGGATGGCTGATGGAAAAGTCCTGCCATTGTAAGGCGTCAATTTTAGTTCTTGCTTTGGGTCTGGGCGCGTCCGTGGCTCGGTCCACGCCATTGGAGCGGCCACCTCTCAGGATTTCACCCCTTCAAGCCCTCACAGCCAATCATGTTCCTGTAAATTATAGAGAGGAAGTCAAACCTTTATCCATAGAACGATATGGGCAAATAATGAGCAGGAAGCAATGAAGGTCCGTAGTATAATTCCCCTGTATCATTTGCTGCTGAACAGCACGTACATATCACAAAACATACAGGATCTTATCCTGGGAAACTGTATCTTCAAACACAGAAGAAAAAGTCTCAGGGTTTTGTCCTACATGAATCTCCTGATATTTGCTTCCATCTACTCTATATTGAGCTACACCCTATTTTGTATCTCTCATCCATGCAGGGTCGGCTCTAGAACAAATCGAATGAGGGGGCAATCATTTACCAAGGGGGGGCACACACTGCCGTCAACAACCAACACACAAACACCAATGCAACTTCAAAAAACATGCTGTAAAGTCTATTGTCTTTCACACACATTGCAGGTGTGTAGTGCTATTGTATAGCGCACCTATGACTTGTGCATACATGCACGGTTGTGGCACGACCACCAAAACAGTAACATATGGACATAGGCCACCATACAAAAAAAGTGTGCAAATGTATTTAGTATCCTATCCATGTGAACATGTTTTAGGTGGGGGTGGACCTAACCTCTTCTAGGAGGGTCTGGGGGCATGCTCCCCCGGGAAGATTATTTTTAAAATATTGAAGTTAAATGCATCAATCTGGTGCACTTTGAGAGCAAAATGAAGAGATCTATGGATAGCCTACATCTCTCAACATCCAGATGAAACAGAACTGTACACAGATTTACTTTTTCTTTATGGATATTTTACTAATCACTCCCCTTTTAAACTGTATTCTTGTGTTACTGTCCTATAGTATTTCATACCCGTTTTTCATGTATTCTCTTATTCTTTAATAACTATAATGATCATATAAAGGTATTCCTCGCAAATACTTGTTTACATAAATGGTGACCAAACCGTTTGAGACCCACTGAGATAAGTGAACCTACACTAAAGTTAACTATCTAAACACTGATACACACAATCTCTTTTTGATTCTGTCACTAACTCTGCTTCTGTGAACACTACAGTATGTGACTCTGAAAAACGTGTGTTGGAAGACCCTTTTAGTTCTACCCCTTTTACTGTTGATGTTGTTCGTGAAGCTTTAACCAAGTTAGATCCTAAGAAACCGGCTGGCCCGGACAACGTAGAACCTTTCTTTTTAAAGATAGCTGCAGATTGTATTGCTCCACCTCTCACTACTCTTTTTAACCTCTCCCTCAGCACTAACACAATTCCAAAATTGTGGAAGTCAGCGTATGTCCTGCCTTTGCTAAAAGGAGGGGAGGCCACCTTATTAAATAACTATAGGCCAATCTCTAAGTTGTCAGTTCTGGCTAAGGTTCTTGAACGCTTAGTGAGTGAACAGGTAAAGGTGTTTTTATGTACAAATGACATCCTGTCTAAACATCAGTCAGGCTTCAGAAAACAACATAGCACCATCACTGCCACAATGAAAGTGGTGAATGATGTGGCGAGTATTTTAGATAATAAGCAGAGTTGTGCAGCTCTATTTATTGACCTTTCAAAAGCGTTTGACACCGTCGATCATCACATTTTAAAGCAGAGGCTAGCCAGTATAGGCATGTCCAGCCATGCAGTGGGTTGGTTTGTGAACTACCTCTCTGAAAGGTCCCAATGTGTTCACTTTGATGGGCTGTCTTCTGAGTGGTTAAACATTGCTAATGGTGTTCCCCAAGGTTCTGTTTTAGGTCCACTTTTATTCTCCATATATATCAACAGTTTAGGTGAAAATGTGGATGAAGCTACTTTACATTTTTATGCGGATGATACCGTGTTGTACTGTGCAGGTCCCTCCATTAAGGAGGCTGGTGTTAAATTACAGGATGTTTTTAACATTATTCAGGCTCAGCTCTCTGAACTAAAGCTTCTTTTAAATGTTGATAAAACCAAGGTAATGCTCTTTTCTAAAGCTAAAAAGACACCAGAGCCTGTTTTAGATATTGTAACTACGCAAGGAATAAAACTTGAAGTGGTTACCTGTTACAAATACCTTGGTATCTGGCTTGATGATTGTCTCACTTTTAAACTTCATGTCAATAACCTGCTTAAAAAGCTGAGGGTTAGGCTAGGTTTCTTCTACAGGAACAATTCCTGTTTCTCGCTTGAGGCCAGGAAAAGGCTAGTCACTGTGACCTTTTTACCTGTGCTGGACTATGGTGATCTGATCTATATGAATGCACCTGCCAATTGCCTGGTCAAGTTAGATGCTGCGTATCACAGTGCACTGAGATTTGTGACAAACTGTAAAGCATTAACCCATCACTGTACCCTGTATGCAAGGGCTGGTTTGCTTTCACTAACTGTACGGAGGCTCAGTCACTGGTACATTTGTATATACAAAGCCATGTTAGGGAAACTTCCATCTTATATCTGCTCCCTGATCTCACGGAAAATTGTAAGTGGCTACTGCCTGAGATCGAATGCTGTGGTTTTATTAAATGTGCCAACTGCTAGGACTGTCTTAGGGAAGACAGCTTTTAGATGCGCAGCTCCTCTGTCTTGGAATAGTCTGCAAATTAAATGGGAACTGAACAATCTGGTGCCACTAAATGTTTTTAAAGCTCGGTTGGATGCTACTCAATCGGAATCTATAGGTACCTGTTTATGTGGATAATTATGTAAATGATGCTGTATGATGTCCTTTTGTTGTTCTATTTATGTTTTTATGTTTCATGTGGAACTACTTGAGCAGGTCTCCCTTGAAAAAGAGATCAATGATCTCAATGGGATTTATCTGTCTAAATACAGGTTTGAAATGAAATGACTGAGAGAGTCCTTACCTCACTGAGCTGATGTTATAAGATCCTCTCAGTCTGACAGGAGAGGACTCTCCTCCACCTTGGTGTAGAAACAGCTCTTTATATCCGTTAGCATAGCTAGCTAACCAGATGCTAACAACAACATTCCATGTTACCGCTCGCGCACTCACAAAATGCGCTCGTGCCACACACACACAGAGCCGAGCTTGAATGAAACACAGAGACCCAGAAGTAGGCTACTTGTACTGTACTGTATATCGTATTATTTTCGATGGCTTTACTGTATAATCAGTGTAACAGATTAACAGATCGCCACTGGGCTTTCATCTAAACACACAGCCACGTAATGATAACAAAACAAAGGTCGGGGTTCATTGGTCAAGCAACACACCAATCAGAGAGCAGCAGTGAGCACACCTCAGGCTGTGTTTTATATTTGTATTCTTTATTTCTGATGTATTTCACACACGCCGACCCTGCATCCATGTCTTATTTTCAAGGATTCTAAATTGTCCCTTAAACTGCTCTTATCTTCTCTACCATACTTTATTTACCCCATTGTAAGTGGGTGTAGTTACATCTGTGACAGATTATAGATTTCTCATTGGTGCCCCCAGTCACACAGAGAAATAATTTAGTGTAGTTAATATTTGATTCACTTAGTGACGCTCAGTTGTAGTCCAGGTTTTAAACTGGTTGGATCGGGTTCAACGCTGTGACAAAGTGTATCTTAGGGGGCCAAAGTAAGAAAACTTCCTATAACGACTCATCTTCTTCATCTTGCTTTACACTGACATGCTGCAACACCAGTGACTGCTTGGCAGTTCTCCATGCCCCAAAACATAAATAAATTAGAAACAACATAAATCCATGAACCATTTTTACATAACCAAGTTGCTAACCCAATGTTAATCTCATCAAACATGGCTTCTCTTAACAAATAAATACTCCTTTCGTAATTATAAATTCCACACATTTATCACACCTTATTTCTCGACCAAACTAGATTTTATTTTAAATCCCAATTGAGCTTTCTTCCAGTCAGCCGGTTTCCTTAAGTAGCCAACTCCATAACTCAGGAGCAAATATGTTCTGGCAAAACTTCCCATTGATTTCCTCCATACAGTATGTATGTATATTTGTGCATGCATAAAATATTTCTTATAGGACCTTTCGCTCTGATTCACACATAGCCAGGCCTGTGGAATAATCAAGTGTAAGACACGCGCTACTACTGCAGTACTACTGTCCTATATTTAGTACTTTTATCAATAATATAATTTTCTCTGGAAAATAATTAAGATTTTTACCCCAGCGTGTGTTACACTGCATGATTTCTCTAACATAATCATTTCCATCATAAAGAATTGCAAAAAGGAACCAAGGAATAGATTGAAGTTGTTATATATTGTAATTCCTCTCTGCAGTAACATTAGTTGTCCAACAACAACTTGTCTTGTGTTTTGCGTCCAGACGCTGGCTTGAGTTTCTCAGAGACCTCACAATTTGTTAGCATAGTGTAACTGAAGCAATTATCACACAAATTATTTGTGACACATCACATTATAATTTGCCTTCAGTATCAAGGGATTGACAGCCATGTGAGACTCAGTCAGCTAATGAAGATAATGATGAATAAAGTGCTTATAATGGTTAGCAACAAAGTATCCGGTCAGAGATACATTTCAGGATAAAGGGGGAAATTTAATTTTATGTAGTACTTCATTTTTGTTGAATTTGAATTTTTGATGTTTCAAATTGATATTTTTGGATTCACTACACTTCAGATTGACATATTCTACTTTTTCTCCCCAAGAGGTACCTGACAGTTGAAAATTTTTCATGCAAATCATGCAATAAGCTTATTAAATGTTATGCATTTTTTGAAGTTTAAACGAACAATTTGGTAGACCGCCTGCTATTTTAAAGTACTGCCTACAGGTAAATGCATCAATAATTAAACACAAACACACACAGAAGAGGCAGGAGAACTGAGACTTTGAAGATAAGCTCTGCAGTTTCTTCCCCCCAGTGAATGATTGTGTGCTTATATATAAATTAGGGCTGTCAAACGATTACAATTTGTAATCAGATTAATCACAGTTTAAAAATTAATTAATCATGATTAATCACCATTCGAACTATGTCCAAAATATGCCATTTCTTTATGTATATTGTTGTGGGAATGGAAAGATAAATGAAAGAAG